GTGGGTGGTCCCTGGGAAAGAAGTCACCACAGAAGGAGACCCAGGGCCTGTGGTGCTGGTAGGAACAGAGGTGGCTCTGGTTCCAGGAACAGAGAAGGTACTGGTTTTTCCTATGAATGTCGTGCTGGCTGTTGGCTCAGAGGTGGTGCTGGTGCTCCTGGTGAACATGGTGCTGGTTGGATGTCCAGATGTGGTGCTGGATTTTCTGATAGGTGTTGTTCTGGTTTGGGACATAGAGGTAGTGCTGGATGGCTGTCCAGATGTGGTGCTGGATTTTCCTATAGGTGTTGTTCTGGTTTGGGGCATGGAAGTGGTGCTGGATGGCTGGCCAGAAGTTGGTTTGGATTCAGGAATGGATGTGGTGCTGGCTGTCTGCACAGAGGTGGTTCTAGTGTCCCTGGTGAACATGGTGCTGGCTGCCTGTCCAGATGTGGTGATGGATTTTCCTATAGGTGTTGTTCTGGTTTGGTGTGTGGAGGTAGTGCTGGATTGATGCCCAGAGGTTGGTTTAGATTCAGGAATGGATGTGGTGCTGGCTGTCTGCACAGAGGTTGAGCTTGTGTCCCTGGTGGACATGGTGCTGGCTGGATGTCCAGAGGTGGTGCTGGTGTCCCTGGTGGACATGGTGCTGGCTGGCTGCTCAGATGTGGTACTGGATTTTTCTACAGAGGTTGAGCTGGTCTGGGTTTTGAAGGTGGTCCTCAATTTTTCTCTAGAGGGTGAGCTTGTTTGGGGTATGTAGGTGGTGCTGTCTGTCTGTCCAGATGTGGTGCTGGTGCTCCTGGTGAACGTGGTGCTGGCTGGCTGCCCAGATGTGGTGCTGGATTTTCCTATAGGTGTTGTTCTGGTTTGGTGTTTGGAGGTGGTGCTAACTGGCTGCCCAGAGGTTGGTCTGTGTTTAGGCATGGATGTGGTGCTGGCTGTCTGCACAGAGATGGTGCTGGTGCCCCTGGTGGACACTGTGCTGCCTGTCTGCACAGAGATGGTTCTGGTATCCCTGGTGGACACTGTGCTGGCTGTCTGCACAGAGGTGGTTCTGGTATCCCTGGTGGACACTGTGCTGGCTGTCTGCACAGAGGCTGAGCTGGTTTGGGGTGTGGAGGTGGTACTGGTTGTCTGCACAATGGTTGTCCTGGTT